AATGAATTGTGTCTTAGGCTGGTTCAAACGAGGATGGGATACTTCCGAATTACAGAAAGTTTTTATATTTTGTTCAGTGGAAAGGAAAATTTTCTTTCGATCTGTTACATTGCTATCAAGTGACAATATCTTATTCATTATCAATACAGATATCCTCGCAGTTGATGTACTCGTTGAAGCTGTCTCAAAAACTATGACAGAGAATTTTTTTTGTCTATCTGATGCGAGTGGTAAGTGCAAGTTTTTTCACGTTTAATTGAGAATTATAGAGGTTCTAATTGCTTACCGAGATAGCTCATAATGTTGTGTATCTCATTACAGAACAAACTCTTTGAAATATTGACTACACCGACCTAAAAACAACTTAATAAAGGTGATATTCGGTTGCTTTTGGCTCATCTATTTTTTTTTATGTCTTGCCTGGATCTCTGCAGAATTGTCTATCAAATAACTTTACCATCGAATCATAATATAAAACCAAAGTTCTTCTGGAATGAACATGTGTATGAGTAGTCAGGATTGTAATTTCACTACTTCTAGCATAAATTCTCATGAGATCCAAGTCTATTCTCCTCAGAAATAAGGAAACGATTGTCTCTGTCATGGTGCTGATTCTGATAAGTCAGACAAGACGATTTGATATCTAGCGAACTTTGTTGTTTACGTTCTTGACATGCGCCGACATCTAGATTTGTCCATAGTACATAACTTCCTTTCAATAGACAAGAACTTGAGTGCTTGCGTGAGTTACGTGTACATTTAAAGCAACTCATGCACTAAACACATGAAAATTATACGAATGAGCATCTGTGGAATGATTAACTAGAATAAAGTAATAAAAGCAAATCTGTTCAAGACGAAAGAATGCTCCTCGCTACTCAAACTGTCGGAGGCTGATTATTCATGTAGGTTTCCTCTTCGGCCTGCATGTTAAAAGGAGATGTTATTTAAACTGTTAATTTTTATTACAAATTGGATCATTTTCAACATACAGTTGAAGAAGAAAACAAGAAAATGATGTATGAAATATAATTAAAATTACTTTCATGCATCACAAGTATTGTTTTCATCATTGTGGGTGGATGTGGGTGAAGAGTGTATTCAAACCAACACCCACACTCATATCTACACTCATAGCACGAAAAGTTGTACAAGCCACTTGCAACTTCGAAGAACAGATCACGGATTTTCAACCATGACGATGCCTTAGGTATTTCGTTTTATTTTATTTTCTGACCAAATAATTTTTTTACATTATCTATGATATTAAATCATTCGTTTCTCATTATTTCTTTCGTGGTCAGTACTTTGTGACATATACCGCAATAAAAAACCAATCATAGTATCTATCTTTTCATTCATGCTTCTTATACACTCTGCACGTTAAATAGGTAATGGTTAGTGACATGTACATCGAAGAAATAGCTAAAACGTTAGAATAGAAAAGATCTCTAACATTCAACCACACTACAGGCGCTTGAACAAGTACTGAAACTCATGAGTAAGAATGTTAAACAATAAAATAAGAAATTGAGGTGCTTGAATCGGCAACAAAGTCTGAAGTCCTGCCTCAAGATATGTCTATAATATATGACTTTCTTGCTCCAGGTGCTCATGTAACTCATGCGCATGCCACAAGACGTTTGACTAGGGTTCAAAGATAGTATTTAAATATCATGAATTACATAAATAATTGAGAATAAATATTGAAGGTAAATATAAACAATCAAATCGACTATCATTATGAAGAGGTTGTCAGCACAAAGGAGGGATCGATGAGTGATGAGATTGATCCCTCGAAAGATTTGATTTTTTATATGCAAAACTGTCAGACAAGGATCTCGAAAGTGATGGCTGATAGAATTAGCCCTATCACACTTGTTTACGCTGCACTCAGATCGCTTAAAAATCTCTATCGACTTATATGCAAATTAGCCTTATCGACTACCATATTGATAATTAAATAGATCTGATTATCATCAACGGTCAGACATGATATGCATATTTCAGCTATTGACTATTTCAAGCGATCTGAGTACAGCGTAAACATGTGAAACAGGACTAATTCTACCAACGATTACTCTCGAAACCCTTGTGGGACGGTTTTATATAGAAAATACTCAAACCTTTCGATGGGGCCGATTTCATCAGTTATCGACGCTCATTCTCATATTTGTCATTATTTGCTTTGGGTTGCTTTTGAATCTCAGTTAATTCAGCTGAAGTTGAACGGTCTTTTTCTGCCGCAGGTTTAATAGTTACTGCACGTCACTCCTCTCTTGATTGCAAAACTGTGAGTGACAGTTTGGCTGTCGGATTTATTTAAAATGTGCTTGAACAAAAATCTGATTGCTTTTCGCAATATTCATGTCTTTGTCTGTTTGTTTTCCAATTTACTAATATTTTTCCGTTCATATTAAATCTAGAGTAAAAACTTATACTCTTCATGGCTCCATAATATGAACCACTCTTGATAGTAAACGATCTAAATTCGCGCTGAGTTACTTTTTCCGAAATCAATCACTTTTTAGTGAAAGTATATTTATAGTAAAATATGAATGCTTTTTTCTGACTTCTACCAACTAGAAAAAACTTCTTGAACTTAACTTTTTTTGTTCCACTCGTATTCTTACATGCTCTGGTGCACAGATAAGAACGAAACACCTCCGTTTAGTAAACACTTTTAAATATTTTCTTGAATGTTCACATTAGAAAATTTTTACTGCTGTCATCTAAATTGAACCCATTGGCTTGTTGGACTTTCTATGAAGGTCAATACTTAATTATAGTTTATTATTATCATAATATTGACGTAGCAAAAGTACACAGGCATTCGTCGGTTGACCAGGCAGGCTAGGAAGAGCGTACACCTGCCACAAGTAGGCCAGGCCTGCAAAAAGTAGGCCTGTTTGGATCTCTGATAGGCAGGCGTGGATTGAGTGTGGCGAAAGTGTGGGAATGGATTCCGATGGTTGCGTTATCTCTTTGCTCATATCCACACCCTAAATGATTCTATCTGAACGAGCTGTTAATTCATTAAAAGTGTTTTCATTTAAATAAAACAATTGTTTTTCTTGTTTCTAAGTAAAGAAAAGAAAGTATCATTACATTAGCTCATTATCAGCTCTGATAAACCCTTCAAAATTAATTTCATTAAGATGGTCAACTTAAAATAAGTGAAACATACTAAACATAATCCATTACCAGTATACTAAATTTGTTCTCATCTGTTAGCTTTTCGTATGTTATCCTAAATCTCCTGCACACGTTCTATTCGTAAGCGGGAAGATAACTACAGAAAAGTGTCTGGTCTGTATATAGTTCTGAGATATCACACGTAAAAGGAAAACTGCCTACCTGAATAACATATCCAGCAATAAGGAAAATGATAGTTGAGATGTAGGTAGTTTAGAGTTTATTGATGATAAGGAAAAAGACAAGATCATAGAAATAGGAGTAATAATAAAAGAGGAAAAATAAGGTTTATAATAGGTGAGGGGACGAGAGAGAAAAGAGATGTTGTTCAGAAGGATGAATGATAACAACAAGATAATCAACTGACCAGTAATGACAGGGGCGGCGCGAAGAGCTCAGAGCAGGGGGGGGGTATTGTGAAAAATGGGAGAAAATAGAAAAAAGTCTCTAAATTGTAAGTACCTAGTACCTTTTTTTTACTAGTGTTTTTGAAAGCAAGTAGATAGGTAGATTCTTCTGTTATCAATTACAAAAAATGGAGAACATTGTAATAAAGGTTCTTCAGAACCGAAAGAAGTTCAAAATATATCTTCTCGGAAGTTGAAAAATTTTTCAGACATTTTCTCCAAACTTGGAGAAATTTTTTCCAAAATTGAAGAAATTTTGGGACATTCTCTCATTAACTGGAGAAATTTTAACACACTTTCTCTCAAATCGGAGAAGTTTTGAGACATTTTCTTCAAAATTCGAGGAATTTTAAGACATTCTGTCCCAAATTGAAGAAAGTCTGGGACATTTCCTCATTGGTTGGGGAAATTTTAAGACATTTTCTCTCAAATCGGAGAAGTTTTGAGACATTTTTTCCAAAATTGAAGAAGTTTTTGGAACATATTCTCACCAACTCGAGAAATTTTGAGACATTTTCTGCAAAATTCAAGAAATTTTGAGATATCCTCTCACCAACTAGAGAATTTTTAAGATATTTTCTGCCAAATTGAAGAAATTTTGAGACATTTTCTCCAAAATTAGAGCAATTTTGGGACATTTTCTCATTGACTGGAGAAATTTTAAGACATTTTCTACCAAAATGGAGTAATTTTGGGACAGTTTTTCTCAAAATCGGAGAAAGCTGCAGTCGAACTTTCCAAAGCAGGAGGGGGGTACCCTCCCCCAACCCCCCCCGCTCGCGCCGCCCCTGAGTAATGATAACTAATGAAAGCATATATATAGGAGAGAGAGAGAGAAAAAAAAATAATCGACAGGAAGACAAATTATATATGGAAGGAAGGACAAAACAAAATGACCAAAGGACAGTGACTAAGTTAGTTAGCGGCAACATAGTGTCATCTGTTGACGCTAACATCATCTAACAGTAATCTGATATTCCAATCTGTAATTATCAACAGAATTTAACAATCAGTTCATTTATCAAAAAACACTATTTTCTGTGGTTTAACGAACTGTGTAATAAACTTCAAGTCAATTCGATCTCATGAAAATGTATTTTCTTGTTTTATTTACTTCAATATTTAATTCAGTCAATCCGACGAAACAATTATAGTATCAAAAACAATATCTATTTACACGATATCAAGTTGTTATAGAGCAAATGGCATCATTTAAAAAACGAAAAATGATTTCTAACTCAGATAATGACGATTATTTTCATGTTGATTTTATCTTACCTCTATGCTCTATCATCATTTGCAACAAATTTCTT